GGGAGAAATGCCAGATACAGGTGAAGGGGAGGAAGGCAGCAAATCACACTGCCATGTGTGTACCTATGCAACTATCTTGCATGTTCTTCACACGTACCCCAAAACCTAAAATGCAATAAAAAATAAAATAAAATAAAGAAATCACATAATGGTATACCTCAACTTAACTTTAACATGCATTAAATATTAGTGTATTAAACACTCAAAAGGCACAGATTTCAAAATGATGTTTTGTTTGTTTGTTTTCTCAAAATGGTTTTGAAAAACAGCAAAACCAAGCATATGATTTGCAAGAGATACGTTTAAATATAAAAACAGTAATAATGAAAGTAAATAGAAAATTATATAACAGGAAAATATTTAGCATAAGAAAACTAGAGTGGTTCTATTACTACAGCTGGCAAAAAAAAAAAAAAAATCAAAGCAGGAAGTATTACCAGAGATAAAGTAAGATACCTCATAATGATAAAAAAATGAAAACTAAATAGTCTTATATTTTTATACCCCTAGTAAGTGAATTCACAAAGCAAAACTAACAAATAAATAAGTAAACAAATCTCCAAAGTTGAAGACTTAACACCTTCTTCTCAATAGTATAGAACAATTAGACCAGAAATCAGTAAAGTTTAAAAGATTTTAACAATACTATATACCTTTACTTAACACTAATCAGAACACTACGCCCAACCACTGCAGAATACATTCTTTTCAAGTGTACATGGAATGCTTACCAAAATAAGCCATATTTTGAGCCACAAAACATCTTTATATATTTCAAAAAATGGAAATATTATAAAATGTTATCTGACCACAGAAGCAACTAACTTAGAAATCAGGAACAAATACATATTTTTAGAAAATCCCCAAACATTTGGAAGTTAAACAATATATCTCTAAATAATCTTGGATCAAAGAAGAAATCACAAAGGAAATTAGAAAATTCTTTGATGTGAATGATTGAGAAAATACAACTTCAAAATTTATAGGATGTAGCAAGAGCAGTGCTTAGAGAGAAATGGTAGATATATGTACTCATATTAGAAAAGAGGCTTAAAAGCAGTTATCTAAGTTCCCACTTAAGGACGATACAGAATGGCAAAAATAAACCTAAAGTAAGTGGTAGGAGAGATGTTTTAAGATACAAAAGAGCAGAAATTTATGAAACAGAAAGCTTAAAATGATAGAGAAAATTCACAAGAACAAAATTATATTTTTTGAAAAGACTGGTTAAAATCACATCATCATGATACTTGCCATCATTACAATTTTAAAGCCTAAAAATTAAAACTTAACAGGTTTCACACATTTAAGAGCTAACTCATTTGACAATCAGAAGTAAGTATGGGTTTCATTTAATAGTAACATGAGCTAGCTGCAGGGAATGTTCTCTCAAGGCGGTCCTTTTTCTTCTTTTAATAAAGACAGAACTCTATTAAAGCATATTAGTAAATATCATATTTAAAAGAATTACTACACTGAACTGAGCAGCCACCAAATGCAATGTGGTACCAGTTGATATAAGGGCCTCTGCTCTCAGGGGGCTTATAACCAACTAAGGCAAGAAGTCACAGATACATTCTGCAGTGTAATTTATAGATGAGGTAAAAAAGTGTTCCAAAATTCTAAGACAGACATTGGAATTCTGACCACAACAAGTGTAATATATGGAGCCTCAGAGTAATTATAGGATCTGGAACAGCTGGCGCTCAAATTTAGTGATTCCCCCCAGTTGCTGGAACCTGCCATTTCTGGGAAGTTAAAATTTGCGTCACTGTTTCTACTTGTGATAAAATGAAACCACTTTCAAAGAGAAGCTTCCTATTCCTAGCCTTCTTGTGTGACTTCTACTACCTCCACTCAAAGATGAAAAGGGAGAAGATTCCTCTAAGACTTCCTCATGGGGATCAGAGTGTCACCTCCATGCTCTTGCCCTGAGTGCCCCTGAGCACACCCCAGAAGAAGGCTAAGAGATTTTTGAGAAAGACCATGTGACTGGCTGATAAACACCTATTTTCCTCAGGTTCCACCTGAATTTATATAGTCAGTACATCGCTCTTTTATTTTGTCCTCTCTGTTCCTTTTTGTAAATATAAAAATTCTCTGTAGGGGGCGTAAAATACTAAACAAATTCACACTAACAAATACCTGGCCAGGCATAGTGACTTATGCCTGTAATCTCAGTATTTTGGGAGACCAAGGCAGGCAGACTGCTGGAGTCCCAGCGTTCAAGACCAGCCTGGGCAACATAGTGAGGCCTCATCTCTACAAATAAACAAACAAATTAGCCAAGCGTGGTGGCACACACCTGTAGTCTCAGGAGGCTGAGGTGGGAAGAACACTTGAGCCCAGGAGGTTGAGGCTGCAGTGAGTTATGACCATACCACTGCACTCCAGCCGGGGTGACAGAGCAAGACCCTGTCTCCAAAAAAAAAAAAAAAAAAAGAAAAGAAAAGAAAAAAAAACTCTTCAGGCTGATCAGATCTGCTTTTGTCTGATGAGTAGCTCAGGAGCTCTACATTTCTGATTGCTACAATAGACAAAGTGGAGAATGGAGGTCAAGACCTCAAATTTCTGAAGCTGAGCTTAAGAATGAGAGTGTATTTTCTGGTTGTTTTCTTAACTCATTTCACTATAAAGCCATGCCTGATATTAACAGTACAGCTCTAGACTAGAGAGGCCTGGCAATCCTACAGCCTTCTTCTGTCTTCTAGCCGGGACTTCACACCACAGACCCAGAGGAAAAGAGACCCAAATATCCCTGCAGAAACCAGAGAATAGTCCCTTTACCTCAGTGGTTTCACAATCTGTTTTTCATTTCCTGTTTCTGCTGTAAATAATTCACCATATTTTATAACAGAGGGAAGGCCAGGTCCTTGTGAGCCAGGAGGGCTTTGAGAGATGATGAAAGCTATGTATTTTACCATAACCTAAGGACTTCTGGCAAGGTGCCTTACCTGAGCTGGAGTCCTGCCTTTTTTCCCTAGACATGGAAATATCTGTCAGTGCGGAAAGACCTACTTTTGATCTTGGAAATAAGTGTCCTGGGGTGAGTTCTTAACCCTTTCCAGCCTTCCCACCCTCTTTGGCTGTAGCCATGGCCTTCTGATCTATATCTCTCAGGGGACCTGCAAGCCCCAGATATAGCCCCATGCTGTCCTCCTACTCCAGAGCACATTATTCAGGCTCCTTTCACGGGAACTGAAATCCAGTATTTCACTTACTCTTTTTCTTCCCAATATCCTCATGGCATTCAATATTTCATTTAGAGTATAGGTCCTCCCTGCCCAAGGCCCAAGTCAACCTTCTATCCAGTGGGATTTATAATCCAGTGCTTCCTAGCCCTAGCAGAATCCCATGTGGATAATCAGAAACATGACTGGAAAAAGGACAGAGCACTATGACAATGGGTCCCAGTCTCCACTGCTGGCAGTAAACCTCCAGCAGTGAGCTTTGTAAGCATCTTACATTCTGCGCTTGGTTGAAAACAGCAAAGCAGGCATCCACTTGAGAAATGTTAACCCCTAGGAAATACCAGCCCTAAGTCTTTCTTATCCCTTGGGAAGTACAAATTGGGTAGAGAAGAAACAGATTAAAAACATACAAAACAAATCATACTTAGATATTTTGGCTTTCCTCACCAGGGCTGGATTAAAGTGTGTACTTCAAAATAATAATAATTTAAGTCAATAAATAAATGGGCCAGGCGTGGTGGCTCAGGCCTGTAATCCCAGCACTTTGGGAGGCTGAGTCGGGTGGATCAGGAGGTCAGGAGATCAAGACCATCATTTCCAACACTGTGAAACCCCGTCTCTACTAAAAATACAAAAATTAGCCAGGCGTGGTGGCATGTGCCTGCAGTCCCGGCTACTCAGGAGGCCGAGGCAGGAGAATCGCCTGGGAGGTGGAGGTTGCAGTGAGCCGAGATTGCGCCACTGCACTCCAGCCTGGGCGACAGAGCAAGACTTCATCTCAAAAATAAATAAATAAAAATAAGTAAATAAATGTAAGGAAGTCCAAATGTTCACATGAAGATGACTGTGGTCATTTTTTGGCAATCCCCAGTTCTCTTTTCCACCTGTCTGCTCAATCGTTGTCTCCCTCTCCCTCTCTTGCTGGGGCCCATGTCCCAGCTTTACTGTTGCCAGAAGCTTGTACTTAGTTTGCTGTTTAGGTAGGAGCAGTTACTTCCACAAAGCATCTTTGTAAACAAAGCAAGTAGAAGAAACACATCCTGATATCCACCGCACTCGGCTTTTGTTGATTCTGTTCACTTGGGGGCAGCTGCTGCTGAAGAATAAGAAGATTGAGGCTGAAGAGTGAGGACTGCTCCCTGCTGGCAGGACCTGGGAGAGGAAAGGGCCCACAGTTGATCCATCCTCCCCATTCCTGGTCAGCCGTCTGTTCTGAGATCAGAGCAGTGGGGTCACACTCCAAAGAATTGTGCTCAGCCCCTTCATCTCACACCCTTCCCTCTCTTCCTGAGAGCCTGCCTCCCTCTTACATAACCATGATGGTGATTGGCATTGTCATGAGTCAATACTTTGCTCACTTTCACATCAAGTAACACTATCCAGGGAGGAGGTTTCAACAAAGGAGGAAGTATTAGGAGATCTAGGTTCCAATTAACGTTGCCTCTAGTGGTAAAGGACAGAGACCCTCAGACTGATGAAATAGGCTCAGAATTACTTAGACAAAGCAGATATTTGTCACTCTCTTCCCCTTCTCCTGTATTTTACAGTGAAGTCAGCTGAACAAAAAATGTAGGGGAATATAATGAGAGTAAATACGGTAATCTCTTCATGTGCTAGTTCAAGCGCTGGACTTGGGACTTAGGAGTGGCAATGGGGCCACTTAGAGCCCACATCTGACTTTGACTGAAATGTAGGTGAGAGACAAGATTGTCTCATATCCGGGGAAATCATAACCTATGACTAGGACGGGAAGAGGAAGCACTGCCTTTACTTCAGCGGGAGCCAAGTGTTCACAGTGAGAAAAGCAAGAGAATAAGCTAATACTCCTGTTCTGAACAAGGCAGCGGCTCCTCAGTAAAGCTACTCCTTGATCGATCCTTTGCTCCTGATTGTTCAAAGTGGACCCCAGAGGAGAAGTTAGAGCAAAGAAGTTACCACCGCCAAGCAGGTATGGTTTTTCTTTCTTCCCCTTTTATTGGGGGCTGACTGCCCTTCAGCTCCATGCAAAAGATGTGCATGAACACAAATATACCTTCTCTTTGAGGTCAGCATCATAGTGGGTCATGAATCATGTTTGCCTTGCTGCTATCTCCTCATTTCCAGGTTGGAAAAAAATAAAACATGAAAACAATCACTTAATGTTGAGCCCCGTTACTGATGCTCTCTGGTCCTGCACTAGCCTCCTAGAAAAATCATCACAGGAAGCCTCAACTCTGCATGAGTTACCACAAGTCACACATACAACCGGCTCCCTGTTACAGAGCTAGAGTCCCTGGACCCAGGAAATACCACCCCCCAGGACTGTGGGAACTGGGGACTATGGGAACTGGGAGCAACTCAGTCCTGATTCCTTGTGGCCTGCTGGGTTAGTGCTGGCAGCCCCCTGAGGCCAAGGACAGCAGCATGGCAGTCACCAGGCCTCATCACCTCAGGAAGGGGTCCCTTAGAGCCCTTGCCACACCCCTGCACAGCCCTGCAGCTGAGTCGGCTTCAGACCAGTGAGTTTTCTACCTCTACCAGTGAAAAGGCACCTTGTCCGACAGAACCAAGTCTTGCCTGCATGTGCTCAGTGCCACCAAGCCCTTCTTCTCTCCACATTACAGCCCAGCTCAGCTGAGGCTATGGCCAGAGGCACTGCTTTAAGGCTACTCTATGTCTAGGACAGGTCAACGGACACTTTTGAGTCCACTGAGTCTTGACTCAATGAATCAGCTATCGCAGGCACTATTCCCTTCCCACATAGCCTCTAATGAAATGGCCAGAGTTGAAAGGATTCTAAGGGAGGCCTCAGTGGCTTATTTAATTAGTTGGTTAATGGGAAAGATTATTTTTCTGTACATTTTTAAAATGTGCATGCTTTAAAAATATTTTAGTTATGTAATAAAAGTCTAAACCTGGGTTGAGAAACTATGGCTCACAGGCTAACTCTGGCCCACCAGCTGTTTTTATAAATGAAGCTTTATAGGAATACAGCCGTGCCTATTTGTTATGTATTGTATATGGCTGTTTTTGCCCTACAACAGCAAACTTGACCAGTTGCAAAAGAGACAGTATGGCCCACAGAGCCTAAAATATTAACTACCTGGCCTTTGACAGAAAAAGTTTGCCAACTTCTAATCTAAAGTTGTCAACTTGTTTCAGAATTATTCTGGAATAAACCCAAGAAACCACAAAACTGACTAGACTATGTTTTTTTTAGGTAATAACTTTTAAAATTATAAAGTAATACATTATTTTATGCTCCTTGAAAATGAGAAAGCAGTATAGATAAACCTAAATTAACCTTTGGCCATTCTGTCAATCCTAATCTCTGGTTTCCCCAAAAGCACTTAGTATGATATATTTACTGCCAGTGTGTGTGTGTGTGTTCATCTATGCATAGATGTACTAATAAACATCTGTTGTCATGTCATTCTAATTCTGTTTTTCCATTCAACAGTATGACTTGGAGACTTTCCAAGCTTTATAGAACTCACTTCATTATTTTAACTGCTATGTCATATTTCACAGTGTATACTTCTTTTATTTAGCCATCTTCTTTTTGACAGATATTTAAGCTTTTCCAATTTTTCAGTCTTACCAGTGAACCTCACTGCATTTGTCTGCTTGTACACACGTGCAAGTATTTCACTAGAGGAACTACTGGGAAGTTGAACTGCCACATCACAAGATATATGTGGTTCAATTTTTGACTGCCAAACAGCCCTCCATAGAGCTGGAACCGATTATAATTTCACCAGCAGAAAAGGGTAGTTACTGTTTCTCCACAGGTCAAACAATGCTTACTGTTTATTCAGTATTTTATTATTTTTTCCATTTGAATAAGTGCAAATGATAACCCATTATTTCAATATTTCAATTTCCCTGATTATTAATGAAGTTGAGCATTCTTTTTATAGGACCCCTCTTGGCCATTGTATTTCTCTTCTTAAATTACCTATTCATATTCTTAGCTTATTTTATGTTGGATTTTTTAAATCCTTTGTGGGAATTTATTTATTCCCAATGTAAATTATTTGATGTGCATGTAATATTCTCCCTAAGCCTGTCACTTGTGTTTTAACTTTAAATCATACTTTTTAGCCAATAGAAATTTTTACTATTATTGTTGTCATTATTTTGATGTACTTGAATCTGTCAATTTCCCCCTTTATGGATTTTACTGCTATCTAAAAGATTTCTCAATCACCAAGATTATGAAGCTACTTTGGTGCACCTTTCTGTAATACTTTTATTTAAAAAGTAAGTCTTTATTCACCTGGCACTTATTGCAATACATTATTTTGATACTATTTATTGAAAAGGTCATTTTTCCCTATTTGTTTGAGATATCACCTCTATCATATACTAAATTCCCACTTACAAACATGTTCATTTCTGGATACTCTGTCCTTTTATATCTATTTCCTATTCCTGAGCCAATTTCCACTATAATGTTTACCTTTCTACTTGATTTTTCCCCCTGATAAATAGAAAGTCTATTTTGGGTTTTGATATTTTTCCTGGTTACCTTACAGAATTCTCTTAATAGTTGTTAAAGCTTATCAGTTGATTACTTCAGAATTTCTAGATAGACAAACATATCATTTGTATATAGTAAGAGTTTTGCTCCTTCCTTTCAAATCTTTACAAACCTTAATTTTTTGTGTTTCATTGGTTTTTCTTGGCCATCCAGCATAATGCTGAGTAGTAGCCATGAAAGAAGATAGTCTCAGAGCTGATACATACAGCTGTGTGGGTTGTATACTGCACAATTCTAGGGGGTACTGTTTACAAACACTTAGATGTCCTAGGTATTCTTGTCATGTTTCAGAGTTTAATCCATTTTTATTTTGTACTATGAACTCATTTTTCTTGGAACCTTCTCTTTGGGATTCATTGAGATTAAAAATGTTTTCCTATAGAGGATTTATTTTTGCTTTAGCCAGGGACAGAACCGCCTGGGACCACCATAAGCTTGTGGTCTATTGGCCACACAAATAAGGTGAATTCTGACCCAAACTTACCTTATTACAGGCCTGTTGTTAAGAATCTCAAAGAAGCCTTTTCTTTTTGCTCCACCCAGAGTGAAGGCTGAGAAGGCCTGGGACAGACCTGTTTCCCTCCATAGTTCCTACTGAGGATGTCACCCATAGGGGATCTTGAGTTTATAATCTCTAATCTGGTTAGGCCCCAGGCTTTGCCTCCTATGCTACCATTAAAATCCAGGCTCCAGGCCTACAGGAGTCCAGAAAACCCCAAGACGATCACTGACTCCCCTCTCTCATGCCTCTGGCTTAGCATAATCTTATAAATTGTGGCCTCTTGAGACTTCCTTTACTTTCCTACCAGTGCAATCTGCATAAAAAATGATATTCTTAAAAATTTATCTAGTATTTTTAGGTGCTGTATGCCAGGAGGATTTTCTCCAACCACCTTCTCCATCATAGTGCCCGCAATAAAATCTTTATTTTTTATTTTAATAAGATTGATCCTAATGCTTCTCCAATAAGATACATAGTAAAAGTGTTTGGTAACTATTCTATATCAAGTTAGTGAAGCTCTCTTCTATTCCTCTTGGTTAACCAAGAATTATAAATTATGAATGGGTATTGAGTTTTATTAAATGCTTTTTGGCATTTATTAATTTCCTTATTTCCATAGCTAATTATATAGCTTATCCCAAGGGTGATGGAAGCAGAGATGACCCAATAGCCACTAGGACCCTTGGAATGCAGACCCATGATTTTTCCATTAAAAAGAACAATAAATTCAGAGAATGTGGACATTAATTCAAATTCTTAGTATGGTTGCCATGTTCTGTTCACTGACCCATCAGTCTCTTGTCCTCACACTTCAGATACTGGTGTCCTGGGCACAACCTGGGCAGGTCATGAGGGGTGTGTAGGGGACGCCTCTTGCACACAGGGGCCTTTTAGATGGCACAACTTGAAAGGGGCTGGGAAAAGTTCCCTGCAACACCTCCTGAACCTCTATGAAACATTGACACAACAAACTGAATATCCAATTGGAAACTGATATAAAAAGGCATATCCAAATTCCTCATTTAATGTGTGAAATAATTTTACTGGATCTCTATAAATTTCTGAAGAGTCAAACTATAAAACCATGGGCAATACTGGCACTCCACATGCATCGATAAGACAGAGGCAGTTAACTCAGAGGCCACTGTGTCCTGTTAAATATTGGAAGAGAGTACTGCGTGTACTTATGACCTGGGCTGATGCCAGCTCTCAACCCTGATCCATGTCTAGTAACCTGCTGAACTCTTGGATCTAAGTCCCAGGAAGCATAAAGGCGAATTTTCATTTACGGCCCCCTGAAGATAGCAACTGGCTTCTCTTATCTGAATTAATGAATTATGACTTCAGCTATCTGAGTTTTCCTCTGGAGGCCTGCCCCATGCCAGGGCCAATGAGAAGACTTTTGTTTACAAAACATAAAGAATTTAAAATATATAGCCTCATTTTATCCCCATGAATTTTGTGAAAAAGCAACTTGTATCATGTATCTATTTACATGACAGGAAGAATTAGAGAAAAGAAAAGATGTTGTGGCTGGGCGTGGTGGTTCGTGCCTGTAATCCCAGCACCTTGGGAAGCTGAGGCATGTGGATCTTTTGAGGTCAGTAGTTACAGACCAGACTGGCCAACATGGCAAAACCCCGTCTCTACTAAAAATACAAAATTGGCCAGGAATGATGTCACACACCTGTAATTCCAGCTACTTGGGAGGCTGAGGCACAAGAATTGTTTGAACCCAGAAGGTGGAGTTTGCAGTGAGCAGAGATCGTGCCACTGCACTCCAACCTAAGGGAGAGAGTGAGACTGTCTCAAAAAAAAAAAAGTTCTGTCATTAATTGACTTCATGAACACACCCCAGAACCCTAGTTTCCTCATTTGCAAAAAGGATAAGACCTGCCCCACCCCACCCTCCTTTGTTCAACTT